CACAACAGCTTCACATTCAGCATATTCAACAGCATCCTACATTTCAAAATCAATTTTTGGCATTGGTGTTAGACAAACACAACCAGGATGGTTACTAGTGCGGGCAACTAAAAAACGTCAGAATAAATCATGTTCCTTGTCTTCACTTATTGGCTTTAAACTACACCGCATGGTTTTCTTTAGGATCTCAAACCATATTACACGCACATGAAAATATGTATTTAATAAGCAGGTCTTTTTTCTAGATTCAGATTAAAATACTTGAATAGGATCCAGCCAAAAGCGCTGAGAAACATTAAACAGGCAATACCGGACTCAGACAAAAGTCTAAATAATGGATCTGCAAGTACTTTGAGTATTTAACATCAAATCCTATTCAAAGTTTTCTTGATTCAAATGTGATGGTGTGAACTCAAATTCAAGCTGAAAAACACAAAATTTTGTACCATGGGAGGTTGAACATTTGGAACAACTCGGGATGAAATGACTTTTCCCCTGTGGTGACCACCTCGAGTTGCCGCATGAACTTCTAATAATTCAACTGTCCAAACACTGGTTTCATTGGACCTTTTGTTGTAGACGACAAGCCTTGCTTGTCGTGGAGGAAGTTTGGTAGGAATGACGGGTCCACCTTTTGTCCTGGGAAGTAAAGATGGCTGGAAAGGAGGGAAGAAATAAGCGTCTGCCAAGGCAACAACCTGCTTACTAGGTTCCACCAGAGCCACCTCAATAAAGCGCATGCTATCTCTCACCTAAAATAATAGGAATCATTCAGCTTCTACCATTAGCATGTTCACAGACAGGAACAAGTTCTATGCCAATAAACCAGATAACTTATTCATTTGATTATCAGAAATTGTGGAATTGAAATTGAAAAATATAATTTACCTCGGCAGTTGCTCCAGCTGCCCTAACAGTTGCCACCGCCACAGAGATCTCAGCAGCTGATAAAGGGTCCAAGGGGTGGCTTGTTTGAGCTCTAGGCATTATTTGAATTCCTAAACAGCAAATCAGAAAATTTATATCCCGTGCGTCAATAAGATGATGCTAGCCAATTTTAAAGCTGAGTGCACTACTATAATAGAAAACTTTTGGAATTGTGAGACACCATTTTCTCTGTTGGCAATTTGGAGCAAAAATAAGTTTGAAGGAAGCAAAAATGTATCATAGGACTTATGAGGACAATATAACAAATTCCGAGTTCATCAGTCAAGTAAAGATCCATTTACCATACTATTTTTTGGGGCAAATGAAGATCAACTACGACAATCCTTGCCAAAGAAACGCTTATACGATATCCAGTTTGTTTCCTCGTAAAGTCAAACTAAAGGAGCGGGGAAAAGAAATCATGAGTTTGTCAATGACAACATCTGGGACCACCCAAAAGGACGGAGACCTTGACTTCCGACATCAGTTTAGTCGATTTAAGCCCCTTATTTTGCCCAAAAAGTAAATCCAAAATGCCGTTGAATTAAAACAGGCAATTATCTAACTACGTACAGAACCAAAATGAACAACCAATTAGAACCTTTGGCAGAAGTGGAAGTAGCCTTGGGAGGAGAATCCGCTAGGGACTCAACGGGTCGGATCAGTGTTGCCATGGGCAATCTCTTGCCGCGGGCCGGATCCTCGGAGGAATCACCCCAATCGCGCAGCAGCTCCGTAGCTCTCCGAAGCAAAGGAGTGGTGGCGGAGGAAGGTTTCTCGGTGGTGTCGGTTTTGGTGTTGGAGTTGCAACAAGCCGTCGCTTTTTCCTGAGTTGTGGCCATTGCAAAGGGTTAGCAAGCTCACCGTATCCACCGTAGTATTTGTCACTGTAGAATTCTACTGACATACAGCAAGAAGGTCTCAGTTATCCGTCTAAACTTGGGTTGAAACTGCAGGCCCGCCCGGCCTCTCACTTTCCGGCTCTTTCCGTCAGTTTCCCGAGAAAATAGTAAAAGGGAAATGGAGCAGCAGAAGGATATGGAGGGTAATATACTGAATACAGAGGGGGCGGAGTGAGGGTGACGGTAGGAAGCGTGGATTTGATGATTGTTGTTTTCGAAGTTTTATAACGTGAAAGTAGAGAGTGGATTGAGGAGCTGGTGAAAACGACAAGACGGCGCACGTCCAATTGCCAGAGCCCTCATGCATATTACAGTGGATGTTTTTAAATTTGACAATATATTTATGTATTTAGAATTAAGTTTAGATTCAGATTTACAAAACATATCTTGGACCTCACTGTTTCTTATTATTATCTGAAATTTATTAAAGAACAATAGGACATTAAAATATATATATATATATATATAATTATTTGAACACAGTGATAAGTGCGTACTCATTTCAGCAATAAATCAAGTAACGTGTCACTGTTTCCCACTAGAAAACAAAGAAATCAGTGAATTATATAATTCATAACAGCTGGCAGTTGAATTAAATATAAAATCTACCTACTCCCATAAGCGTATTTTAATTTTGACAAGTTTAATTCCAGCAAATAAATAAATATGAGAAATTCAATTTAACGTTTCTCATTTAATTCCAACTATATTTTATATTTTCTTTAATTAGGTCTAACCAAAATAAAATTGATATATCTTTCGAGAGGTCTGTAATTTACTTTAAACGTCATCGTTTTAAGACCAAGTACTCTGTAATTTACTAGGTGAGGTGCGAATATTGAACCAACATCTGAGCCCAGCCCAAATTCAAACAAGCTCTTCCATAGTCTTATATATTTTAAATAGAGCCCAAATCACTTATCTTTTTTGGGCCACTCTCAACAACTATTTGTACTTTTTTGTTTTCTATAATATTAATCTGAATTATCCTATTTTAATTATCAAAAATTCTGTAACGACCCGAATTTTAAAAAAAATAAATTATAAATTAAGTGCGGAAGCGAAATAATAGCGTTGGAGTTTATATTCGTTACACAATAATTCAGATTACCCAATAAGACTACGATAATAACAATTTCAAAAAAAATAACGAAAAATCAAAAAAATAACTAGAAAATAAATAACTAGACATCTTAATCGCAATACTCTTGTGGATTGGACTCTATATCTTGGTTCTCTTGATCTGAAATGGTTAATAAAAGAGTGAGTTACACTATTCCAATAAAAATGTCACACTACTCACCAACACATAAATGAATGTTGGTAGAAATCATAAAAATAAATAATAAAAATTTTAATTTAAGTAAATTCGTTTATTATGAATAAAATCATTTACCACATACTTACCATAACGAGATTTCCAAAACTGATATATGAAAGCAATAATATAAATAATATCATAATCTCATATTCAATCAGTTAGAACAACAACTTTCTATTTTATCAGCCTATTAGTATCCATGGGGGTTCATAGAAATGTCTCTACTATGCGTGAACCTTTTTCTCAACATTTTTAACTAACGGGCTGTCCCCATACTCCGTCCAGTATGAGCGTCAAAGTATAAATTATTGATACCCCGTCCGGTATGAGGCAACGTTTACGGTAGGGTTTCCTATATACTCGGTACGTCCACCATCTCTCAACATATTTAGTAAGGCTAACATTCATCAATTCACTTAATCAAATAATTTCTCGTTTACCTTTAATTTTCAGTTTTTCAATTAACTGCAAATTACGTAAAATAAGTAATACATGCATCAAAAAACACAATTGAGTTACCATACCAATTACGGTGCATTATATCATACATTCAAAACTGTAAAATAGATCAATCAATTAAAACATGACAAATAACAATAAATAACTGGTTCAGTCTCCATTAGTAACATTTAGCTATCGATATTTATAGATTACGTAAAATATCGTATTAATTATAAATAGACTTCAATTCTATAACAAGAAATAAGGTGAAAGATTCTTACTCGAATTGATGTCTGAAACGATAAGCTTTTAACTGTGCATACTAGCGATCCTTGGATTCCCTAAATTTTTTTTCAGGGATTAAAACACGCTCTAAGTATCTAAAAAAATTTTAAAAAATCCAAAATCAATGTTAGAAATTCTTTTTGGTCAATTTCGGGATTCCGGCACGGCGGCGCCGCTGTGCTCCAACGACAGCACCACCGCCCATGATAGTAGTTTGCCTCGATCTGACCGTTTTCGGTCAATTTTGTACTCTTTCCTGCAAGAAAATACGATAAAAGGTCTCGGTTGACCCAAAAAAGTCGAAAAATAAATGCTTACTGGCGACGGAGTTTCCAGTGTGGTGGCTTCGCCGGCTCACCTTCACGGTTGAGTGTTTTACTTCGATCAACATGTAGAAAAAATAATGGTGATTACAATGGTAGAAAAATTACACAGAACGGGAATCGGGAAAGACCTTATCAGATACGGTTTTTGTTTTTTTCCATCGCAGCGCTGCTGGGCTTTATCCGCGATTTCGGGCTCATTCGCCGATCCTTTTGCTCCGATTTGGCCATAAGGGTGTTCAAAATCGAATTTCAAGCAAATAAATTTTTTTTTACCTCTTTTGGCGGTCGGAGGTGGCGCGGGCACGGCGGCGGTCGACGGTCGACTCTCTTCACGACGGCTGGTTCTTTTTCTCTGACAGATGAGGGGGGGTCTAACGGCTAGGGTTATAATTTGGTGTGAAGTGGGGTATTTATATCTATCTCATTTTAATATGGGTTGTCAATCGTGTTTGATCTATACCGTTCGATCGCGTTTACATAGGAAATGAATATGGACCATCCATCATGATTTGATATGAGTAATCCGATCGCGTTTAAATAGGAAATGAATCTGGACTACCCATCACAATTTGATTTGGACCATACGATCGTATTTAAAGAGGGAACGGATCCGGACCGTCCATACGCACGGGAACAAATCCGGACCGTCCGATCACAGTCACACAGATTGTCAGCATGACCTTCTGCGTGACACCGCGCCAGCGTGCCTTGCCAAGCGATGCGCTCCGGTTCGTCCGGGCTGCTGACTGTGCGTCCCACGTAGCATATTTTTCTTAAATTGCGTTTTAACTCAAAATTTCTGATTTTTCTTTTAAAAATACTTCTATAACCTAAATTTTCACATTTTTTTTTTCAAAATTGTTTTCAATTTCATCTTACACCTAAAAATTGTTTTCAATTTCATCTTACACCTATTTTTCTTTATTTTTATATTAAATAAAAATTAAAAAAAATAAATTTTCATAAATTAATTTTAAATTTTTAAAAAAATTAATTAAGGATATTACAAATTCATAATGCTTTTTTGTTACCAAACTGTTAATGAAATTTTTAAAAATACATTAAATTTGAAAATTCTCAAAGGTACTGATTTGAAATGTTGACACTAATTTTGTGGATAATTTATCTTAAATATTGTAAATATAATTATCAGTAACTATTTAATTTAATAATTAGTAAGTTTCTTTTTTTTTTTATATAAGAAATCATAATTTTGAATTATTATATATTTTCGTATTTATTATTATTGAAAAATTATATATATCATTTAATTAATATAATAAAAAATTCACTTATTATTACAATAATATTAAAATTTTAAACCAACCCGGAAATAATATTATTATTTAATATTGCATCCAAACTCAATCGTACTGGTTGGAGGAAGACTTACGCGGTCTTCCCACTCGATGGTGTATAGATAAATTTTATTCAAGTGCAATTTTCTTTGTATATTGTGAACAAAAGTACAAGACATTATGAATAATAAATTAAAATTTCCTCCACCAACTTAAATCTATGTAATTTAATATAATTATTGATGGCCCATTCAGGAACAAGAATAATAAAAATTAGTATATATATATAAATATCATGTATAAATTAATTTATTCACTGAAATTATTGTTTATATTATTTTTGAGAGTCCCGAGAGTTGTCCTATTTATTTTTTGTTGATGATATTCAATGTCCATTAATGAACTGGCTTTGTCCACTTATCTGTACTCAATAAAGAAAAGAAGGCAAGTAATGTCCACCAAAAATGATATATATTATTTTTAAATTTTAATTATTCTGTACAACTTTGTGAGTAAATAATTTATAACACATAATTTAATACAGATTAAGATCTAATTTATTATTATATTTATAGGGTAATAAATAAATTAAACTTTATCTTGATTAAATTATGATACTTTTGAATAAAAAAATATTACTTGATATTTTGTGAATATTTTATAAGTTTTTGATAATTAGTTTATGATAAGTGATTTAATAAGAGATTATTAATTATTATGTTTGTAAGGTTACAATGATAAATTATAATATTCTTAAATGAAAAAAATGATGGCTAAAATTATCGTAGACTAAAAATTTATATAGATGATGCAAGCAAGTCACAGCTATGACGAAGGAAAACTATAATTACAATAAAATGAAAGTTCATTAAGATATTAATTTACCCTTGTGCGTGGTGCACGCACCCAAAAATGGTTAATTAATTGTCAATTTAATAGTGGAAATTTCAACTACTCTTTTTTATTTTTCTTGTCAAATTGTGGGAATACGCTGTAATATTATTATTGGATGGTGGGAAAAATTTTATTTTTCCTATGAGATTAGTGACTTGTGACAATTTGCTGGTAAGTATAGTTATAGTACTTATTGATGACGGGGTTGTTGAATTGAATGGACCTTCCGCCACTAATTATTTATGAATAATAATAATAATAATCATGTGGGATCACCCGCAAATGTTTTATTAAATTAACATCTGTCCTTTCATTAAAAAAAAAAAAAGACATCTGCCCTTCCTAATCCTTCTAATAATCTTATTATTGAAAAATTAAATTAAAAATCACATGCCCACGTGAGAATCCATTGATCTTAGAGCTCTTTTTTAATTAATTTATTAAAAAAAAATTGCGATAATCATAAATGCAAATCTCTTTAATCAAAATTGATCTATTAACTAATTAATGATATAGTAAACAATCTTAGCTTCTAAATAATAAATAATTATTAATTTATAATTAAGTAGCCGACTCTTGCCCATTTTTTGCTCGTTGTCTCTTATTCTTTATTATTTTTAGTCCGCGGCTCCCCCGCGCTGCTCCATTCCTGTTCATTTCAGATGGAGAACAGCGATGCTGTTAAGGAGCCGCTTCTCTCCTCCAGAGAAGAGGAGGAT